GGGCACCTTACATCAAAGTAGGGCCTTGACTAGCATGGATCAGATCCTTGAAAACTGACATGGGCACCTCTAGGCAAATTCTGATGGAGCTAAGTGCCTGAAACTCCTAAAATCTGTCAAAGGTCCTTTGCCACCGGAAGTAGTCATTTATCCCACAATTGAGGACTCAGTCTCCCTTTATCTGAAGGCCACATAAAGGCATCCCCAGAGACAGTTGCCTTACATGGTGACTGCCAATCATCCTACAGACCTACTCCTAAAACCTCTCATTATTGAGACATATAACCAGAATGAAATCCCAGGAGGTCTTGGAGTTAGGCATACAACGTGACCTGTGCTGATATGCAACACGTATGAAAAGATTTGCAAGATCAGGCCAATTTAATGTTAACACAAAGCTGGGAAATATGTATCTCAGAGTCCTCTTCCCTGGATGTTTCTGTACTAGAGTTGGGCAGAGAAATATGTGTCACATTCAGAAGAGATAAAAAAAGCAGCAGCCATTATGCCTTGCAGGTTGAGGTAATCTTAAGGTAATGAGAGATAGGATGCAGAGGGGCTGCCAAGTTTAATCTGTCCTCACTCTTCTATTTCCCTATTGCATGTCACCATCCCTACTCCACATCCAGCTAGCTAGTCTTCTCAACTGCCAGGCTTGCTAACCAACAGCAACCCCAGGCCCACCAGAAATTTGACTGACACCTGGGAAACATGTTAGCTACGTGTTCTGGCTTCGAAGAGTCTACCTTTGCAGTGTTATACCAAAAGCTAAGTATTAATTATTTTTTACATATGCATGATAAATCTATGGAGAACAGCTTATACTATATATTGTAATTTCTTCATTTTTACATGCCCTTTAATGAGCATTTATAAGTTTTATAAAAATAAGCATGCAGTTTAAAACATTTCAGGCAACACTTTCTAATCTGTAACACTCTAAATTCCCTGGGGGAAAACAAGCGGGGGTTTTTTTTTTGTTTGTTTTTGTTTTTCCATCCTAAAAAACAATTTTAGAAAAGAAAACTTACATCATTAGATTGAAACAATCGAGTCATTGCAAAGAAGGCTTCTGTAGCTTCCACAGTTCCGAAGTGTTCACCCTATGTAAAATTTGAAACAATTTTTTTAAACATAAAAATTCAGATGTTAAGGACTTTCTCTTTATTTCTGCATAAATCTTTTAGAATTCAGGGGAAAGAGTATCTTTGTAAACATTCTGCTTCTTGTAATTTCTGGCTTTCAATTTATAAACCCAAATAGCCACTGATGCATACCTTATTTAAAATAATTCAGTATCACACAGCACACATAAAAGTTATGGAACAGTGCTAAGCTTTTGACAGAAAGTGTTTTTATTTCCCTGAATTTACAAGGAGACAGAATTATGATGCAAGCAAAGTTTCTAATCAGAATAGGGTGTTACTATTATTACATTGCCCAACAACAGAGATCTCAGTGGCCATTTGGGTTTATAAATTCCATTTTTTGACTTGAAACTCAGAGAACAAATACGTGGCTTTCTTAACTTTAAAAAAAAAAAAAGTACTTTTCCATAAAGATCTAACAAAAAATAGGGAAAGAGATAAAACAGATGTTCCCAAACCTGTTCATGTGGTTAATTATGTTTATACTGTGCTTGATAATTTCCTGATTTATCAAGTTACTTGTTTCAACATGAACTGCCGCGTGAAAAAAGGTATTGGCCAATATAAAAGAATATGCTATTCTGAATCAACTTTGACTCTGTTTATATAATGTATTTAGCCAATTTGGACATAATGTGTGCTAGGAAAAGTTAAGTCAAACTGACTGTGGCTGAAGTATCTATAATGTGCTGCCACAGAGAGATTATGCTATTTATAAACAAATATATTTTATTTAAAACTATATTCTTGTCACTCAGTCTCAATTTGCAAACAACAAAGTTTTATTAAGTCTCTGAATGACATCTTTAGTTAAAAAATAGTAAAAATAAGGCTTTTTTTAGAATTCAAATTGCAAATTATAGCCTTCTTAGCAGCTTATGATCTATGAAAGTATATATATGAAGTATATTAAGGCTCTATAAATTTCATGAGATATTTTACAGTGTGAAACAAGAAAAGGAAAAGAAGTAACAATGACAGAATGCAAAATTTACATTCCATGGCAAGTATTGTTTTTGGTTTTTTCTGCTATATCCCAGTGCCCAGAATAGTGCATAAGACACAAGAGGAATGCAATAAATAATTGCTGAGTAACCACATAACACCTAGTCCTGAATGTTTATCATGTGTCTATCACTATTCTCAATGCTTTATGTTTATCATTTCATTTAATCATTACAACTTTATAAAACAGATATTACCATAATCTTCATTACAGAACAGGACATTAAGGCCCATAATGGTTAAATTACTTGCCCAAAATCATATTGCCAGTAATATTGGAATAGGAATAGGAATGATAAACACAAAATCTGAATATTAAAAGTTTTAAATCTGAAATTTGTCTGACTTCATACTATATTTTCAGAAAGCCATGAAGACCCCAAAAAACATACAATATGATCTAATTAAGACTCATTAAACTGACATCAATATATTTGAGAATCTACTCTGCTTAAACAGTTTAATATCTCATGAATATAAAAAGAAGCATGTCATACTCCTTCTGCTCTGAGTTTTGCATATTATTTTAATCAAACTTGTGGATTTTAAAGTTCAATAAATTTTTTTTACTATACTCTCTAGAAAACACTTCACTGTATGTTACATATTTCTATTCTGTGACACAAATCTCAGGAAGGTGAAAATAATTTACCTGGTTCAGTAAGTACAGAATCTTTGTAAGAATATGCAAACATCTTCTTGGATTGATGGGAGTTTCATTGAATATACGAGCCTATGAAAACATTAAAAATGTTGTTTCATATAGTGCATTTGCTATCACAAATTACTTTAATACTGTATTTAATACAATCTCCAAAAAGGTTAGCTGTCTATAGTTCTCACTTTACTATAGTATATGACAAATTATTAGATGTGGCCTTAATTTTCCAATGTATACTTTTCCTTAGTTTAACCACTTTATGGGCTTCAACTATATGGACTTTCTGTTAAACAAGTCACAAAATTTATCAAATGAATACAATGAGGTTAATTTCCCAACACATAGCAAAGCCTGAATTTCTGTAAATTCTCGATTCTATCACATGTAAATCTTCTTCCTTTTTCCTCAAGTCTCTATTTTCTGAACTCAGTTACATTTAGGTTTTTGTTTGTTTGGATCCGGGGATCGAATCTGGGTCCTGGCGCTTGCGAGGCAGGCAGCAGAACCACTGACCTAATCCCCGGCCCTCAGTTACGTATCTTAATACCCCTTTTGGATGTCCTAATCACAGCATCCCAAAGGTTCTTTGTACACCATTCTAAAAAAAAGAATAGAAAAAAAAAAAAAGAGCACAATTTACTTTCAAGCCATACCTCTTGTAAGACAGCACTCTTCTCCAGATGCTGGAAAGGATTGGAGCCACTACCTATAGCATAAAACAAAACAAGTCTTCAGTAGCTGCTCTACACATTTATTTTCTAGAGAAGGGCACTGATGTTTGGGAAATCTCAAAATGAGGTGATCATTTAGCTAATACAGTGATAATAATTACTAATATGCATATAACCGAATGAAGTCATTTTGATTCTGATATAAGTCCCGTCGTCATATCCTAAGAGCTTGGCTCTTTTTTTCAGGAAACCTGCCCAAAATTCGTGTCTTCGTTCCCTGCCCCCACCCCCAACGAATGTTACAAACGGGTGATTTCCACACAATGAAGATTAATGAGATTCATGATACAGCCCTTTTGATTTAACTAAGAGCAAGACCTATTTTATGTATTTCTACTGAGAGGCACAGATGAAGAGTTTCACAGAGAATCACATGAAAGTAAAGCTGGATGAGGCCATGAGGGTTAACTAACCTAACCCTCTACCACGCTTAGCAGCTTTCGAACACTGGGAATTCTTTTTCTTTTGTGGATGGCTTGGCATCTTCCTCAATCTCCTCGAAAGTCACTTCTGGATGTATGAGCACTCGAAGAGCTATGTCCCACGGGACAGCTGGGCCCTGGGAACAAGTCACATTCCTGGGCCAGCAGGAATGACTAGAAGGTACAAGACACCTTCATGTCCATATATACGCACTCGCTGCTCCGCAAACCCCCAACCCCGGATAAGAGGGTGTGCACCCGGGGCCACACAGACCGACACAGCTTCGCTCCACAGCAGCCGCAGAACCGCGGGAGGGCGGTTCATATGGGCTCAGCCGAAGGAGGGGGCGGAGGAAGGGGCGGGGACGGGACTGAGCGGGGGCGGGGCCGCGAGCAGCCCGAGGCAGAGCAGCGAGCCCGGATGA